GTCCATCCTAGCCAGCCTCCAGCCTTCAAACCCCCCTGAAACATTTCTCCCAGCATGTCTACAGACCCGGAAACTCTTCCCGGGGAATGGGGCGCCCATGTTTGTGATTTCCCATGGAGCCCCATAGGAAGCTCCATTTTCTCATTCTCCCTGAAATTCCAGTTTATGATGTCAACCATTCCCTACCAGAAATTTCCACTGCAACCCTTTGCTCTATTCTCCTTAAAAACCCCGACTAGCCTGGCTGGCATGGCTCAGTGGTTGAGCATTGACCTATGAACCAGGAGGTCATGGTTTGATTCTGGTCAGAGTACAAGCCCAGGTTGTGGGCTCAGTCCCCAGTGAGGGGCATGCAGAAGGCAGCCAATCACTGACTCTCACTCATCATTGATATTTCTCTCTCTCCCTCTCCCTTCCTCTCTGAAATCAATAAAATATATATATATATATATTTTAAAACACAAAACCCCAATATAAACCACATTCACACACACAGCTACCGCAACCTCTGTACCACCAGCCATACCACAGCTTCCAAGAAGCTCAGAGCACCATCCTTGCCCTCCCAGAACTTAAAATTTAGTTGAAGAAAATGCAATCCACATACACATAAGAAACAAAAGGGGGTAGGTGGGTGGGGATAGAAGACTGAGTTAGAGCAGCTTCTTAAATGTGGATTCTAGACTCTAAGTGACCTACAGGCGGAAGCTGGGGAAGGACAAGACCCATCTGAACATGCGTGAAGTTGTGACTTCATCCTCCCTATTTCCAAACACATCTAGATTTTACCTCTGTGCTTTGCACTTGCTGTTCCCTCTGTTGGGTATGACATTCCTCATACTGCATGCCTCACTCCACATCATACAAGGTCCTCATTAAATGTCAGCTCTGCAGCTTAGCCGGTATGGCTCAGTGGTTGATCATTGATCAGGAACCAAGAGATCATTAGTTCGATTCCCAGCCACAGTACAAGCTGCCATTCCCTGTTGTGGGCTCAATCCCCAGTAGGGGTGCATGCAGGAGGAAGCCGATAGATGATGTTTCTTTCTCATCGGTGTTTCTATCTCTCTATTACTCTCCCTTCCTCTCTCTGTAAAAACCAATGAAAACATTTTTTAAAAATATATTTTATTGATTTTTTTACAGAGAGGGATAGAGAGCTAGAAACATCGACTAGTTGCCCTCTGCACACCCCCCACCAGGAATGTGCCCCCAATCAAGGTACATACCCTTGACTGGATCCGAACCTGGGACCCTTCAATCCCCAGGCTGATGCTCTATCCACTGAGCCAAACCAGTTTCGGCTGAAAACATTTTTTTTTAAATGTCACCACTTCAGTGAAACCTTCCTGACCTCCTACAGGTAATCTAAAACATCTTGTTACCCTCCATCCTCTTCCTCCTCTGTTTCGTTGACATCGCTTATCACCACCAGAAATTTTATTACGTTGTTCCCCACCAAAAATTCGGACTTCATGAAAGCAGGGACTCTGCCTTATTTAACCATATATATTCCCAGTATCCAAAACAGTACTTGGAATAAAGTAGACACTTAATATGATGGTGAGTGAACGAATGAATGGACGAACGAATGTCTTCCTGCCTTTCCATTCCTTTTGTTGTAATTGCTGCCCTAGGAGAGGGCTTGTGTATTCGTACCCAGAGAGCAAACAGGCTGGCATGGGCTGTTCTGGGAGGAAATCGCCAGCACTTTCAAGTAGCTCAAAGGCGCACAAGTCACTACACGTGTGGAGGCTAACGGTCTCCTGTTGTTCATGTTGGTGGTGGGGGGGGGGGGAGTCTACAGATGCCAGTGCTCCGAGGGGGTGGGTCCCGCGGTGCTCTGTAGAATTTGCTGTTCCTCTCTCCAGCTGTGCATCTGTCCCCAGGTGTCTTCCTCTCTCTCAGCATGTTACGATGTCTCTGCTGCTTTGGTGAGGTGCTTGTCTGTCTCGGGGAAGGTTTATTCTCCTTCTCTTCCCTTTTGTCTCTCCACCTGTGTCTCTAGCTGTACGGGTAGGGGGAACCTCCCTCAGCTCCCTTGCCCCATCTCACACACACAACCCTGCCCCAGTCTTGGACCCCTCCCTTTCTCACTGGGCCCTGTTGCTGGGCTCTGGGTTGCCATAGTGACGGTTGCCAAGTCCCTGAGGCTGATAGCCAGCGATGGGGCTGTCGGCTCCATCCACCAGGGAGGCTGAGGGGGGCTTCCCGTTGTGTGAAAAAGGGGATGTTGCCATGACGACAAACCCCCACTAAGGGGCAAGGGACCAGCCCTTCCACACCCCTTCCAGCCTCCCCACCTTGGGCAGCTCCTGTGGGCTTGGAAGGCAGGAATACATTCCAGACAGCCCAGCACCTGGCTTCCCAGTTTTCAACTTCCCTACTAACAGTGCCTGCACCTCTCAGGATCCAGGCATTCTGCGCAGACAGGGGAAGGGCCAGGGGTCCCGCCAGACAGAGGAGGGGCAAGAGGACCCCTTGACCTCCAGGCAGATGGGAGACAGCGGGAGAGGACCTAGAGTCAGAGGAGAGATAGGGAGGGCAGAGGTTGTGACCCTTGCCAACCAGCTCCAACGAAATTCCTGACTCCTGACGGCTGCTTTTGTGATTGGAGAATGGGGCCGAGTCTGGAGGGCTGGGCACCTGGGCTTTTTAGGGGAGAGGAGCCTCGGTTGTGGGTACACAGGGAGCCAGGAGACAGACAGCTTGAATCTTGTGGACAGCCACACCACTTCTCCTCAAAGTAAAACGCCCCACGTCAGAGGCGCCTTGGGCAGGGATGATGGAGCACAGACTAACATGTGAGCATTGTCTTTCCACTTTGTTTCTGTGATTTGCCTTGTCCCCGGGCTTTGGTTTAGCAATAGACACTCAGGCTTTCCCCATGTGGGAACTTATATCCTCATACACCCCCATTAGAGGCATTGGCAACTCCTATGCCTGCCTGGATTCCTCTCCCCCCATTCCACGCCAGCCCCCATACTCCGCACGCTGCCCCCCACACTCCCCACGCCGCCCCCCACACTCCCCACACCGCCCCCCACACTCCCACAAGCTCACTTCCCTTCCCTCAGTGGCTGCCTGCCTCAACCTTCTCACCCAGCCCATTCTCCCCTCCCCAGACACTGCCCACGTCACCCCTCCAATCCAATCCTCCTCCTACCCTCCCCCTTGGTTTTATGAGATCCAACCCTAGGCCTGAAAGCCACTCTAACCACCAGTTCTCCATTCCAATTCACATCCAGTCATTTCTAGCCTCGTTGTTAACTTTTGAAGTTTTTTATTCTTTTTTTTTTTTTTTTGGTTTTTGTTGTTCAAATTTCCCTTTTACAATAAAACTATTGAGATGACAGCCATACCCCGCCACCTCCCGCATGGCAACAGCAACTTCCTGTTCCCTGGATGGAGCAATTAGAAAAATCAGGAAGGAGCCGGGAACTACAGCAGAGCGATGACTTGACATCCGGTGGACAAAGCAACCATGTTGGCTGGTGATTAAGGTGGCGGCGGATTTGGTGCCCAAGGGCAGCTCTGGTCTCATACTGAGCTGGGAGGAAACTGAGGGAACACCCACTTGTGTACTGGGGGGGGCAGGAAGAGGTATAAGCTGGTCACTATGGAACAGCGGCAGTTGCTAAGTGCCACTGTCAACTAGACCAGTCAGTAGGCCACCATTCTGGTCACTAAGAAGGGAGCTGTGTTGAGTCTGAAGAGAGTGGGAAATGGAGGATGTGATGAACAAGACAGCCATCTGGGCTATTGAGGGACAACACATGGGTTCTTGGGGTAGTCCTGTTGAGTGACAGAGATTATACTGAAATGTGGAAAGGGAAGAACAAGACACTGGGCCTACCATCGCAGACGGCAGGCATCGTAGAAGTAGCACAGAGAACACAGGAAGGGAGGTCCTGGGATGGGCCACTGAATACCAGGAAAGTCCTCCGCAGTAAGGACTGTCCTGCTCCCCTTCTCCACAGAGTAAGGGCCATCCACCTCCCTCCCCTCCACCCCCCAGACTAAGCCACTTGAGTTCCAGCCAGATGAAGGCACTTCCAGTTCCTGCTGCACTGCTTTTGCCACTTCACCAGGCCACTTCTGTCCAGGCCTGGCCGCTTCTTATCTGGAGCAAATCACTTCCTGTCCCAAATGACCCATTCGGCATCGGACCAAGTCCATCATGTGTCCCAACCAGTTCGTGTCTTGTCATTGGCCACTGGACAAACGGGATACTTCTCGTGGCAGCTGTCATAACCCAACCACCCCAAACGGTTGGAGCGAGTATGCAGAGGCCTGGGGCAGGGCAGAGACAGAGACCCCGCTGCCCATGCCCTGAGCGGGGGTGGGCTGCCAGAGCTTCCCCCATAAGGCCCCCATTTTTGGCAAATTGAGGGGAATGGTTGACAAAAGGTCAGGAGAGGGAGCTGAGGGGAGAAAAGCTTTGATGCCCCCACCTAGGGGATGGGAGAGGCACAGGATAAGAAGCCAGGAGGGTGAAAGGTGATGTAGGGAAGGGAATGCTAGGGAAGAGGAACAGACTTAGAGACAGGAGAGAGAGAGAGAATGAGAGAATGAGAGAATGAGAGAGAGAGAGAGAGAGAGAGAGAGAGAGAGAGAGAGAGAAGAGAAAAACAATGAGAGGCAGAAAGAGGTACCCAGCGAAGGCAGACTGTTCCCACCCCAGCTCTCAGTGGGTATGGGGAGCAAGGATCCCTGGGCCATCAGAAGAGGTGGCTGAGTCTCTGCCTCCTTCCCAAGGGAATAGGACACGGGACCACAGACAGAGAGGGGCACACGTGGCCAACCACAGGGCAGGAAGTGATTCGGTGAAAACCTTAAGGAATCCTACAAGTAGAGGAGAGGGCAACAGCCAGGAGGAATAAAGAGGCTGGTGGGGCAAAGGGGGCCAAGGAGATGCCAGAGGTGTCCCTCCAACCATGAATTACACGGAGGAGCACCGCAAGGAGGGCTGGATCCAGGAGAGCAGGTGGGCGGAGCCCTCATACCTTGTAGTAGATGTTCGGAGGGCTCTGGGGGGGCCCGTCCTGCACGATGTACACAGGATGCCCATAGTCACCACTCACCTTCTCGTAATGGGGACAGAAGGGGGGGTCTGCAGCCCCACTGCCCCGAAGAGCTATCCCCAGTTCCCCAGGCTCAGCCTCCCTAGGTCCCATCCCACCTCCACCTCCCAGGCCCAGAGACCCTCCCCTCCCAAAGGAGCCAGGACCGGGGTGGCGACTCTCCGAAGGCTTGGCCCGCCGTCTCCGCCAACACATGGCACCCCCAGCCCCTGCCACGCCCAGCAAGAGCAGCGCCAGCCCCCCTGCTGCCCCGGCCACTGCGGGCATGCTGGGAGGGGGCAGAGGGCCTTCAGCACCCCGGGAAGTTGCATTGCTGGTGGGGTCACCTGGCGGGGAAGAGGTGAAGGAGGAAAGAGGGGAAGGGGCTGAAGGAGCCACCTGGGCATCTGGCAGCCAGCCTCGGGGGCCCCGTGGGCTCCCAATGCACAGGCCCCTTAGGGACCCCAAGTCCCCGCCACCCCTCCAAGTCCAGCTCCGAATCCAGGTGTGTCCAGCCCTTCCGCTCTGTGCCAGAGTCCTCCCCACTTCTCTGACAGCCCTGATTGAAGCGCTGACTTGGCTAATTAGTTCTAATTGAGTCTTTTCCTCATTTGGCTTCCATTCCCTTCTCACCCTCCCATCCTCTCTTCCCCTCTTCCACCACCACCCAAAAAAAAAAAAAAAAAAAAAATCTAAAGAAGGAGGGAGAGGGTGAAGGCAAGGCAGCTGGGATCCAAGGACAGAGAAGGCTGGGGAAGGGAGGAGCGGGACTCCTCATTCCTACCTGGCACATTCTCCTTCCCCGGCTGCAGGCTGTGGGCTGCCCCTCGGTCTCTTTCCACGGGCATTTCAGACACAGGCTTTCGAGGGGCAGCCCCTCCTCGGGGACCTGGCGATAGCAAAGGCCAAAGAGAAAGGGGTGCTGACCGTGACGGGACTGCCCCCACCTCCCTCAGCTCCTCGGAGGCGCCCCAGCCCCACTCACTCTGTCCCACTCGGAGGAGAACCTTCATGCCTCTGGTAAGGCACACGCCGCCCTGCAGGCTCTCCAGGCCTTCCCGGGTCCCGTCGGACGTGGCTGGGAGAGAAGACCCACAGGGACAGGTTGGCACTCGAGAGTCTGGCCTCAATCCTGTCTCCACGCCCTGGCCCCTACACCACCCCAGGGCATCAGGGGTCGCTCTTAGCTCCGGTGGTCCTCTCCCTCATCTGCCCTCCATCCCAGGAGCACCTCCCCACTCAGCCCTGCCCTCTGCCCAGCAGTACCAATTATGTAGTAATCATGGTGCGAGCGGAATTCGTGGCCCCAGAGGTTAGGGCTATACTCCTGGAACTTGATGGTGAAGCGGAGATCCAGGTCTGGCCGGTCACAAGTGAGAAGGAGGTTTGGGGCAGGGGGTGCCTCACAGCGTCGGCCCTGGGCACCCCCTACCAGATACAGCTTGTAGAACTCATAATTAGTAGAGGAGTGGGGGCCGGGAGGCCGGGCCCGGGGGCAAAGCAGGTCTAGCCGGTCCCCAATCTGAGGGTAGAGCACATAACCACCCTCTGCCTGGAACCTATGGGGAGGAGGTTGAGGCGGACAAGGGGGAGAGGTGTCAGAGGTTTGGCCCCAGAGCTTCGCCTCCCTCGTCCCACATCCCTGCAGGCCAGCCTTTGTCTGAGTAGGAAGTCTGTTCCGAGAGAGCAGGCACTAAGGGCTCTGTCAGCTCGCGCTGGAAGCAGCAGGAAGCCAGGCTCAGAGGCCTCCTGCCCCCTTGGTTGCCCAATTGCACTCTTCAGCCTGCCCTCACCACACGCACACTGCCATCTCTCCCTTCATCACCAGCTCTGTTGCCCTGGCAACAGGATGCCAGTTACCAAGGAGCTGGCCTCTCTGGAACCACACAGCCCACCCCTCCCAGGTGACTTCACTATTCTATGGCAGTCAACCATGGGGGCCGAGTCTCCCCTCCCCCAAGCCACAACCAAATTTCAGGGTTTCGGAGCAAAAAGGGGGAGGGGGAAAGAGGGTGACTAAGACTAGGGTCCCAAGTTTGCCAGGCAATATGACAGGAGGCAAACGCCTGGCCTGGCAATGATCCTGAATGGGCTAATGGGGACCAGGGTCTGGGGGCCAGCTCCCCAACACTGCCTTGCTCAGCACCTCTCTTCCTTCAGGTCTCTGACTTCCCAGGGAAAGTTGCCCCATTGCTTTGGAAAGAAAGGAGTTGCCTTTTCTAACCACCGCCGACACAAGCCCACATCTCCCTCCGCTCAGGCACCCATCGGCCCAGCACAGCCACTCCTCACCGGCCTGGAGCCCTTCCCTCTTCACGGATGGCAGACAGGTCTCAGAACTGGACCCCAGGGGGCTGCTGCTCTGTATTTGACCACCCGGCATCCCAAAGAGCCTCCCAAACACCCCGATTCCCTTTCCTCAACTCTATTAGAATAAGCCTAATGTCTTCAAGCCGAACCAGATAAAATGCACCTGGGAGTTGACAGGTACGGGGCTGGGTAAAGAAAATACAGGTGAGAGCCCTGGCCGGGTTAGCTCAAGTTGTTAGCTCCATTGGTTAGAGCATCATCCAGATTCTCTCATATCAGAGAGAGAGAGAGAGAGAAAAAGGACAGTTGAGATTATACCCAAAGAAATGGGAGGGAGGCCAGAACGGTGAGATGTGGGAGGCTGTGAATGAAGTAGAGAGGAAGACCAATAATCCTAGTGAGTGTGTATGTTCCAACACCTCACCTCTGATCCTCTAAGAGCTGTGAGGACTGGGGACACAAACCCAGAGAGGTTAAGGCATGTGCCCAAGGCCACACAGCTCACCCATTAAGATCTGAAGTGCTCCAAAGTCCACCCTCTTCCCAGGGCCTCATGCAGCCTCCCCCCAGGGATTTTTTCCAAAACACAGAACTCCTTTGCTAATGGGGAGAGAGGTCTGCAAGGAGGCAAGAGACCCAGATGACCTCCCAGGGTTCTCCCCAGTGTGGCTTGAAGTTTCATCTGACCCTTGGCCTTTCTTCAGAGCGAAGCAAGCGTGCCTTGCAGCAGAGATCTAATGGGAGAGTTTGCAGCAAAGATGGGGGAGGGAGCCATGGAGTCCTGGGGACTTCAGATGCCAGGGGGGCCAAAAGCAGCGGCTCGAGGGCCTCCCGGCTTCGTTCAGAAGGAAATCCAGAAGCCAGAGAGCAGGAATAGCATCGGCGGGGACACTGTTCCTCCAAGGGCTACTGTCCGCCTGGCTCGGGGCAAGAGTTGGGGAGCCCGATTGTGTGAAGAGAGCCAACAAGCCCTGGGGAGTTGTCCCCACACTGAGCCCCCTTCCCTCCCATCTCCACTGGAGTCCTTTCTGGGGCGGGAGGCACCCTGCCTTTCCCTTCAACGCTTCAGCAGCACCTACTCAGCGGCTCTCCTGAGAGCTGACACTAACCAGGCTCCCGCCAAGCCCAGCCTCCGACACCAGGCAAGGCTCCCACAAACCACACCACCACTCCACTGCCCGCCCGGCTCCCGGGAACTTTCCGATCCTTGCCCTTGGGGTCTCTCAAACTCCCAGTACCTGGATATCACCACACACACCTCCAGCTCCGTGTGCCACCGGGAGGCTGGCTCCCAAGATCATCCGTCCAGTCACCATCAGCTTCCAGCAGAGCGCCGGCACCCTCCCTCCAGGGCCCTCCCAGCTCAGGGGATTCAGCTCCCAGGTCCCCCAGGCTCCCACACTCCCTGCTGGGAAGGGCTAGGGTCTCCCCAGCCCGGGTCGCTCACCTCTTATTCGCCGAATTCCAGTAGACGGGCTCCAGGCTGAGCCCAGACACCAGCCCCCAAAAACCGAGCAGCAGCAGGGCCCCGACTCGCACGCCCCCCGGCCTAGAATGGGGGGCCCCCATGACCCCGCCAAGGCCTGGGGGCGGGGCACCAACTCCCCCAAAGTCGATCACCCCCTGGGGTGACTGCCTTCGCTGTCCAGGCTATTCTGCCCCGACCCCCCGGGCGGCCGACACCCCCGCTCCCACGCGGACCCGCGTCCTGCTCTGCCCGCGCCCGGCTCCGGGGCGCTCAGCCCTCCGGAGCCCTTCCAGGGGCGGTCTGCGAGCTCCCCGCGCCCCAGCCCAGGCGCCAGCACCCCGGGGTGGGAGAGCGGGCCTAAGTCGGGGACTGAGGGAGCCGGGCGCCCGGCGGCGGCGGCATGGGGCGGCGGACGAGGGAGCGAGGAAGGGGGCGCCGAGCCGGAGCCCCAGCCTCGCCGGGATTGAGGGCAGCGGGCTAAGGGAGGAAACCAGTCCTGAGCCCGGGAGGGGGAGTTAAAGGAGAGACGGGGAGGGGGAGAGGGTGGCGCAGGGAAAAGCCGGAGCTGGAGCTCGCGGCGGAGCGGGCGGCAGGCTCCCGCAGCCCACGCCCCCACACCTCCCGCGGCCGCGCACCTCCCGCCGCCGCGCCCAGCCCGCCGCCGCGCTCCCCGCTCCCCGGAGCGGGCTCTCACGCCCCCTTTGTGTTGACGACTCCCGTCTCTGGCTCAGTTTCTTGCCCATCTCCCCTCCGGAGCGCTAGGGATCTTCATCTCTCAGATTCGGAAAGGCTCTCGCCTTCTCCACCCCGGGAAGTCAGGCCCTGTCGCTCCCGCAGCCGCCGCCTCCCGCATCCCAAACCCCACCGCTGCCCCCGGGGGGCCGGGGAGAAGGGCGATAACCTTAACCTAGGGGGCTGAGCGATCATCGCGACCACCTGTGTGCGGTGGGCAGGCAGAGCTAAATAAAGGATCCCCATTGCAGTGATGAAGAAACTGAGGCTCAGGGAGGCCCTGGGACTAGCCCAAGGTCACAGGGTGTCTAGGAACCAAACCCAAGTTGCTGAAAGAGAAAGGGGTACCGAGGGGTCTTTTTACCCCTGGGGTCCTGTTGTCAGCCTCCTGTACCCTTTACTGTTACCCAGGGGTTGGTGAAAAGCAGATTAGGGGGTAAACGTGGGCCCTTCTTGTTCGGCTATGGGGAGACATGGGCTGGGAGAGGAAAGGGAGTACAGACAGCCCCAAACTCGCATTCAGCTGGAAGGCTGTTTCCAATTATCCTGGGGGAAGGGAGGGGGCTGCCTGCTTGTGTGCGAGAACCCTAGCTTTCAGCACCTCTGGGCAGAGGTGGCATTCCTCTCCCCTTTCGAGCTGTTACAGGCCTTCAGTCCTTTGCCTTTGATTCTGAGGTCCAAAATCAACCCCCCTACTGACAGTCTCTTCAGATTCCTGCCCACAGTAACCCTTCACAGCTCTCCAATTCAGTGTTTGTCAAGGTGTGTGTGTTGGGGTGGGGGTGGGGAGGACAGAAAGGGGGAGCGAGCAGCTGCTTGAAATAACATACTGCCCCCCCCCCAAAGACAGAGCAGATAAATGGAGAAACACCAGTAACAACTGCTGAATGAGACGTTCACCCTTGTCCTGCATCTAACGGAAATACAGATGTGATGTGTGTGTCTCTGAGCACCTTTACTCTTCTCATGTGTCCTTGACTCTGGCTATTCAGACAGGGCCTCCTGGGGGAGCTCAGGGGAGGGGAGGGGGTGCTTCTGCTCCCCTCTCCCAGAGCTGAGTGATGGTCCCTCTGCTGCTGGAGGAGGGTAACTAGTGTTGAGCAAGAGAGAGCGGGTGTCTTGTCTGTCACCATCTGCACAGTCTCACATAGTCACGCCCAGCAGTCTGACACACAGCTCCTGCCACTCCTGCTCCACCATGCTCACTGTGACCCCTGCCACCCCACCTTGGGAGTGAGATTTCAAACAGGTTCCCCCCTCTTCCGTTTATCAAGTTGCCTAGCAACCAACCAGTCAATGGCATGAAGCCCCACCCCCACTACTTGACTTCACGCGGAGCTCAGTAGTCCCATTGGCTCCTGCCTAGTACCACCTCTCAACCCTGGTTTTAGGAACAATATGCCAATCCCCACTGCTGCTGGACTAGGGAGCCCACTAATGGGCACCCCCCCCACACCCCCGTACACCCCGACCCCCCCACCTCTCCCACCGCCCGCAACCTTCTCTCCATCATTTGCCTTCCCAAACAGACACAGAGACTCTGGTATCATATAAAACCTTTTTATAGAAACTCATCCCCACCACTGTTTGTCCCCCCCTGTTCCTTCTCCCCCTGCTGAGCATCAGGGAGACTGGGGTCTGGGCCCCCCCCACACCACCAGAGCTGAAGCTGACACTCAAGGTGGACGTGGCGCATGGAGAGCAGGGGAAGGTCCACCTCCTGCTCCCCCTCGTCCCCACTGTCCGTGGGCTCCGGAAACACACGCTGACCAGAGGCCGTGGCCAGCAGAGGCAGGCTAGGGTGCAGGCTGGAGGGAGAGACAGGCAGCGGCTGTCAGCACCCTCAGAGCGGATGCTGGCTCCCTCTGCAATTCACCTCCCTCCCTGCCCGAGCCCCACGCCCTGTGGTATGACCTCACTCCATTGGTGCAGTCCTTCTGAGGCAGAAAGCTCAGCACAGGCTCCGGTTTCCTCTCGTGCCCGGCCTCGCCAGTGTCCCACACAGAGACAGCCCCGCTCGTGCTGCCACTCACCAGGAACTGCCCGGTCCTGGGGAGAGAGCGGGGGCTTGCTGGCACGGAGTCGTCATCCCGGCCCAGGAACTCCTCACACCCAGGGGTTCGAATCTGGGCTGCAGGGGGCACCGGCGCCCTGGGAAGGAAGGACCCACGGCCACTCACGGGTCCAGGTCAAAGTAGATGCGCTGGTTGGTGGTCACCTCACGACTCAGGGACCACAGTGGATGACCAGGCTGCCGGAGGTCCCAGCACAGAAGCTCAGCATCCTGAAGACATAGAACAGGGGCCTGGAGACCACCACCCAGACACGTCTGCTTCCGTCAGCTGTACAGGCACTCCTTTAGCTTGCGGTGATTTTTTTTCTCACATCTACCCCCGACAAAGCAGCCTACACCCCCACTCCTGCCTACTGCCCTTTGGGAGCTCAGGACATGACGCCTACCTTGCGGGCTCCTGAGAAGAAGCGGTTGCCATCCGGGTGAAAGCAGAGGTGGGTGATGCCCCCTCGGTGCCCTCCCAGCAAGGCGAGAAGGGAGCCATCGTCCGAGGCATACAGGCCCAGGGAGCAGCCATAGGACCCACAGGCATAGAGGGGCTGGGCCGGGTTGAAGGCTATGCAGGAGATGATGCCGCTCTGGCCCTGCTTTTTTGCTAGAGGGAAGGAACAGAGTGGGGGAGCGAGCAGGGGCACCTGACATTAACCGGGCTCATGAGAGGCGCACCTCTGCCCCTGTCCCACAGCCCTTGTGCCAGAACTCAGTATCTCCCCGACCCCATCTGCCACAAGATCCTCCCATCCCCCCCAATCACCACAAAGGACCTAACTGCCTGAGACCTACTTCCTTCCTCTCAGATTTGTTTTTCCTGAAAGGAATGGAAAACTGAAGGCTTGTAGTAAAATAGAGTCAGCTTCACCTCCAATATCCTAGCGAGGCCAAAATTTTGGAGACCAAAAGGTACACAGCCAACAGGAACTGGGCTCAGAGCGAACAAGCTCTTTGCTCACCCGTTTGACCGCAGGAAAGTTCCATGCCTCCGAGTGTTTTCTCCTCTGCCCACCATGGAGGAGGATGTGGCACACACACACACCCCCCTCTGCGCATGGCAGTGCCCTTTTCTTGCTTCCTCTCTTAGAAGCACAGGTGCTTACCAAACGTGGCTCGGACCTCACAGTCACGGCCGGGCCGGGCCGTGGAAAAGACACGCACGGTCCGGTTGAAGCCACAGAAGAGCTGGGAGCCGTCCGGGGAGAAGCAGAGTGAGTGCGCTGCTGTCAGCTCATCCTGGGAGGACGAAAACAGACCTCGTAAAGCACGTCACCTGTCCTCACGGAGGGAAAGCTGGGCCAGGACAAGCCAGGGCTGGGCGGGAGACCCTACCAGGTGGTTGTAGGCGCGAAAGGAAGCCCGGAGCTCTCCAGTGAATGCATCCCAGATGTGAATTGGGTTCTCCCGGCTGCTGCTGGCCACGCTGAGAACAACAAGGACACTGAGGCCCTGCTGCTACCAGGCGGGGGAAGCCAACTGACCGGCCCTCTGAGCTCACACCTGAAGGGCACACCACACTTCCTCCTCCCAGAATCCCTGGGCAGCCCTTGATTCTAGGTAGAGGATCCCCTTGAAACTGTTTGGGGGGTGGGGGTGAGGGTAGCAAAGGCAAAGTACTTCACTTACTAGGATGTGTCTGGCTGGTTTGAAGACATCAGAGAATACCAGCAGTAATCATAGATGGTGTCGCCTTCCACCATCCGAAGGACGGGGACCTGGACAGAGATGGAATGCCTAGGTCACTGGCAGGGAAGGGAGGCATTTTGGACCTCCAGCAGCTTTACGGCAGAGGGAGACCATGTGTCATCATTTAACCAGGCAGGAGAGGGCAGATGGGGTCAATATGAAGAACAGAATCTTTATCTCAACATTCAAAGGTCAGCTCATACGTTAATGTCAGACTTGGGCCACCAAAAGTCATACACATTCATCCTTTGCTTTTTAAACACTCAGAGAAGAAAAAATAAATAACATGCCAACAAAGAACCAACCAATAATATGCATATTTCATTTTTTTTTTTATTGGTTTCAGAGAGGAAGAAAGAGGAAGAGAGAGATAGAAACATCCATATTGAGAGAGAATCATTGATCAGCTGCCTCCTGCATGCTCCCTCCTGGGAATCGAGCCCACAACCGGGCATGTGCCCTTGACCGGAATCAAACCCGGGACCCATCAGTTCACAGACCAATATTCTTTTCTTTAAAAAAAAAAAAAAAATCGGCCGAGACCGGTTTGGCTCAATGGATAGAGCGTCGGCTTGAGGACTGAAGGGTCCCGGGTTCGATTCCCGTCAAGGGCATGTACCTTGGTTGCGGGCATATCCCCAGTAGAGGCAGCTGATCGATGACTCTCTCATCGATGTTTCTAACTCTCTATCTCTCTCCCTTCCTCTCTGTACAAAATCAATAAAATATATTTTAAAAAAAAATCGCTGGGACCGGTTTGGCTCAGCGGTAGAGCGTCGGCCTGCAGACTGAAAGGTCCCGGGTTCGATTCCGGTCAAGGGCATGTACCGTGGTTACGGGCACATCCCCAGTAGGGGTGTGCAAGAGGCAGCTAATAGATGATTCTCTCTCATTGATGTTTCTAACTCTCTATCCCTCTCTTCTCCTCTCTGTGAAAAATCAATAAAATAAAAAAATTAAAAATTTTTTTAAAATGTATATTTTATTGATTTTTTTTTATAGAGAGGAAGGGAGAGGGATAGAAAGTTAGAAACATTGATGAGAGAGAAACCTCGATCAGCTGCCTCCCGCACACCTCCTACTGGGGATGTGCCCACAACCAATGTACATGCCCTTGACAGGAATCGAAACTGGGACCTTTCAGTCCACAGGCTGACAATCGACCCACTGAGCCAAACCAGCTAAGGCAATGATACGCATATTTACTAAGCATCTACTAGGTGCCACTTGAGGCCTTAAACAATTAAACAGCCCTAGCCAGTTCAGTGGATAGAGCTCTGACCCAAGGACTGAAGGGCACCGGGTTTGATTCTGGTCAAGGGCATGTACCTTGGTTGTAGGCTTGATCCTGGCCTCAGTTCTGGGCTCATGTGGTCAGGCCAGTTTTGGGAGGCAACCAATCAATGTGTCTCTCTCACATCAATGTTTATCTCTCTCTCTTTCTTTCTCTTTCTCTCTCTCTCTTGCTCTCTCTCTCTCTTGCTCTCTCTCTCTGTCTCTTTGTCTCTAGCTCAGTAGTTGGATGTTGACCCAAAAACCAAGACGTCAGCTGTTCAATTCCTGGTCAGGGCACATGCCTGGGTTACTGGCTCAATTCCCAGTACGGGGTGTATAAGAGACAACTAGCCAATGATGTTCCTCTCTCATTGATGTGTCTCTCTCTCAATGCCTCTCCTTTTCTCTTTCTCTGAAAATCAATAAAAACATAGGTCGATGTTCAATCACTGAACCACACCGGCTGGGCTAAAAACACATATATATATATATTTTTTTAATCAATGGAAAATATCTTAAGGAGAGGGTTAACAAACAAAAAAATTAAAAAAAAAAAAAAAACTGTAACTCTTACACCCAGCTTAAGAAACAAAATATAAAAAACAGTTAAAATTTCAGCCCAATGAAACCTTCCCTTAGAGTTAAACACTATCCTGAATTTGCCAATCTCATGAATTTCTTTAGGAATACATTAGGTCCTCGGGTTACATCGGAGATCTCTTCCTATGGCATGACGTACACAATTTTCACCGTAAGTCGGAACCCACCTATATAAGCATCTATGTCACTCACATGGAGCACATACACAGCAGTAATGAAGTGAAACAGAAAAAAAAAATTTTTTTCTTTAAAAGATAACAATTCCTGACCTTTACTTGTGGTAAATAAATAATAAAAAAGCAAAAAGCACATATGTACATATGTCGAAATGACAGAACTTTTTTTTTTTAATAAATAAATGGGAGATGGTGACATAACCATGAAACGATTTATATCCAGTTCGAAGTAACTCGAGGACTGCCTGAATATTTATACAAAGGAAAAACGTAGCCCTAACTGATTTGGCTCATCGGATAGAGTGTCTGCCTACGGACTGAAGGGTCCCAGGTTCAATTCCAGTCAAGGGTTGCAAGCTTAATTCTCAGTGGGAGGCATGCAGGAAGCAGCCCATCAATGATTCTCTCTCTGTCCCCCTCTGAAATCAATAAAATCACTGATGTTTCTATCTCTCTCTGTCCCCCTCTGAAATCAATAAAAATGTATTAAAAGAAAAAACAATGTATAGCATTGTCCTGCATGCCTTTAAACTTAATATTAATGATATCACACTGGTTGTGATTGTGAGATTTAGCCATGGTGACACATTTGGCGCTAATTCATGCATTTTCACTGCTGTAGAGTACTTCACTCATCTCTCCTTTTCTATCGACAATCACTGATGTCTTTCCATTTTTTAGCTAGTGTGCTTTTTAACATTCTGGTACACATGTGAGAGGGTGGGTTTCTCTGTAGCTTCTGCTAACAAGGAAAATTGTTGAGCTCAATGGCATGTACTTTGCCAACTCTGCTAGATAATGTCACATTTTTTTCCCAAAGGGCTCAACCCAATGCACTCTTCCACCAACTGCATGGGAGTGCCTGTTGCTCTGCATCCTGCTGCTATTGCCAGCCTTACATTTTTCTCAGTTTGAAGGCTGTGAAATGGTATAAATTGGCATTTCCTTCATACTACTGAGGTTAGACATTTATTTATGTGGGTTTTTTTGAGACATTTATCTGTTTATTAGCAATTTAAGTATGTCTTTTCAAAATTTTTGTTCATTTTTCTACTGGGCTTTTCACTTTTTCTTACTGATTTGAAGGAAATCTTTAAATCATCTGGACCAGTCCTTTGTTAGTTATTTGCTTAACTTTGAGTGATGTCATCCAGCCATGACTTCAGTTTTTACTTCTCTATTCTGAACCCATATATTCAACTGCCTGGCAGAAAGCTCCACTTGGCTCTCCCACAGGCACCTCACCCTCAATTTGTCCCTAAGGGACCAGCACCTGCCACCTTCAAGACAGCTGTCCCTCCTGGGCTCCACAGCCGATTTTCAAGCCTGAAATCAGCACCAGCCTGAATGACTCCTCCTCTGACTCCTCCCCTTTTCTGCCTTTCCACTCCTGGTCCAGCCCAATATATTTTGCCAATTCCACCTCCTAGAGTTCTCTTGCATCTGTCCACTTCCCTTCATACCTCAAGGAGTCACTGCCTTCTTGCTAGCATTTCTACAAAACTTTAGATGTTCTCCAGGCCTCCCTATACCCTCACACTCCAATCTACCCATCCATTCTCATTTCCACATACAGCCACATCGAGGCCCTACAGACCTTGTTAAATGGGATTCTGTACAGTGTCACCTTTTAACATGATTCAGTGACTCTTCATAACCCTCATATAACCCCCTCTTTACAAAGCTTTCCCTTACCAGGTGTCTATCCCATCCACCACTCATGGCTCACTTCTCAGTACTCACTCCTTAAAAATCCCTACATCCTACTATTTTGGCTCTCAGTTCTCACCATACTCTCAACCTGCAGGCTTTCACGCATACTAATGTTTCAGTCTGTAATACTCTTCTCTCACCTCTCCCAGCTTCTGGTTGAATCCTAGTCAGCCTTCAGGTCTCTTAGATGCTTCTTCTCCTGGGAGGCCTTCCCTAACCCTCAAGCTGAGCAAGGTGCCTGCTCCATGTTCCTATAGCCCTCTGTGCTCTCTGCCCCATACCTATCTGAGAAGGCAGGAACCACGTCTGTCTTGCTCGTACTGTTTCTCCAACACCTAGTATTTTAAATATTTTATTTTTTAATCCTCACCTGAGTACATGCTTACTGATTTTAGAGAGAGGGGAAGGAGCAGAGAGAGAGAGATATCAATGTGAAACAGAAACATCGATAGGTTGCCTCCCATACATGCCCTGACCGGGAATCAAACCCGCAACCTAGATATGTGCCCTGAATAGGAATTGAATCTACAATATTTTGGTGCATGGACGATGCTCCAACCAACTGAGCTACACTGGCCAGGGCTAAATAGTATTTTTGTGGTTTTTTAAAATATATTTTTATCGATTTCAGAGAGAAAGAGAGAGGCAGAGATAGAAACATCAACGATGAGAGAGAATCATTGATCAGCTCCCTCCTGCATGCCCCACACTGAGGATCGAGTCTGAAACCCAGGCATGTGTCCTGACTGGAAATCAAACCATGACCTCCTGGTTCATAGGTCGACACTCAACCACTGAGCCATGCAGGCCGGGCTAAATAATGTTTTAATGAGCAAATGAAGACAGGAGATTGTTTCAGTAACTTAAGGCCCACAATAATAGGACCTTGAATTAAAGTAGAGAGTTAGGGTTAGGGTTGGGGTTGGGGTTAGGGTTAGGGTTAGTAGAGGCAGTGAAATAGAGAGAAGTAGATGGATCAGAAAGATTAGGTGGACTTGATGAGATGTTGTAATTAATTAGATGTAGCAGGGGGGAGGGGGAGGACACTAAAGGATGAGACCCTGGCTCTTGGTTTGAATACCTGAGTTCATCACGATGGTGAAGAATGTGGGGTTCACAGGAGGGCTATGAGGTCCCAATGTCCTTGGTGAGGGTGAGTGGGAGAATCAGAAAGCAGTAGCCTCCAAGGAAAAGTTTTTCCAAGAGAAAGGACAATTGTCTGGATATAGTATTTGGGAATGAGGGCTCCCCTCTGCCCCCAGTGA